AGTGAGAATGTAAATTGGTGGAAATTAGGAAAACAGATGGTAAATAAGGGAAGGGAGGGGTTGGAACAAGGGGGAAAAAAAGCCAAAGGTAAATAAGGGAAATTCTACCGTAGTAGTTTTCCAAGGCAAAAAAAGAGGCTGTCTGTGAAAAAATATATAGTTGAAAATTAGGAAGACAAAGGATAGAAAAGGAGGATAGGAGAGGAAGGGGGATGGAGGGGGGAGCGTAAAAGGTTAGGTCTGGCAGGTACCTGGCGAATCAGGTGTCAGGCAGGTTGTAATGTGTCATAAATCCAATCTCTCCATTGAGTCCGTTCTTTTTTATATCCAGTACATAGGTGAAGTGAAGTTCGTAGGCTCGTCTATGAAAGGTGTTTTGTAAGTTTCCTTTGAGGATTAGAACTGAGAGATCGGAGGAGGAGTGAATGTTTTGTGAGATGTGAACCCATGGGTATTCTTGTTTTCAATACATTTTTGGTGTGCGTTCACTATGGTGTGCAGTTGCTGTTGAGCACAAGCAGGCAGGAGGCTAGTTGGGAACCCTCCCAACCCTGTGACTGCCTCAGGACAATGTGGCACAGGTCTGAACTGCAACGCTTGGCATATGCATATAAATAACTGATATAGGTATGGGCAGCATTTGGTACTATTCATACCTGCACAGTACACAGCAGCTGGTAGAGAACTAGCAAAGGCTGTTCTGATGTCTCTAGGGAGCCCTCTGAGTGCATCCTGTGGCTTAAAGCCCTCCCAGGGCCATGCAAAATAACCGGCAACCACTGAAGTAGGCCTCTTTGACAGCACAGCATGTGCTGTCTGGAACATTTGATAGCGATCAGATTAAACGCGAGACGTTCTGGTACAGTAGCTGTTAGGTCAGAAGGAAAAGGACACTGTTTGCCTCATTTATTTAATCTCCGATTATCATTGTCTTCTCTATATCAGACTGGCTGGGGAAGAGGAGAGGGAAAGATAAAAGTCCCAATGTTCAGAAGGTGCCAAGCACCCGTCGCACTGTCTGCAGTCAGCGGGAGGTCGGTACCTTTGAAAAGTCAGGTATTTCGTCTCCACTGGAATAACTGAAAGAGCCCAAATAGATCCTCAGGATTTCCTGCATGGGTTGTTTGTCTCATTAAAAGTGAGGGAATGCTCAAATTGCAAAAAGAAGAAATAAAAAAAAGCCATGTTTGCACTTCAGAGGAGTGGGCCTACTGCTAACTGCTGTTCCTTTGGCCTTATCATGGTTGGGCTTTCCCAAGATGGAAAACAAAGGCAAGACAAAGGTACACTGACTCCCAAGGAGACATACAGGTAGCACCCAAATGAAGGTTAAGATGGAACCCACCAAAGAGGGACTGAAGAAGGACATGCATAGAAAACCATGGTCTGCACAAACCTTCTGGAAATGAAGGTCTTTAGAAAGTATCTTCTGTTTTATGGTATATGCAATCTGCAGATGTAGTAAACAGAAGAGTAATAGCTCTTTGGCAGGAAAAGTTTAACAGAACGGAAATTAGAAAGCATTGGATGTGCTTTGCCAAACCAAGGCTAGTGAACAAAATCCCACTCCCACTCCCGAACCACAGTCCTTAAGCTAATATTATCATATCCCCTCCCACACCCAGTGACATTATGTTAGCCATGGTTTGCCGGTAGACAGAGGCTCAGCCACAGACCACAGGAACTCAGTAGGCTTCTTTCTGCAGATCTATAGCACAGTTAATGGAAACCTGCCCACATAGCCGCAAAACACTGTGTTTTTAACATGAAGGTCCCTTGGTGAAGTCCTGGCAAGGCTTTTCGCTTAGGCACCCAATCACAATTCCAGACTGTTCCAGCCTTCCAGCTCTAATGAAAGACATTTAATACCACTCAGCTCATTGGGTTGCAAAACATCTATGTCTACGACTGCGAGCAAGAATTGAGAGTGCAAGAGAGTTGTTTCTCAGGCCTATCCCATTGTTTAAATGCTTTCTTGCTTTGCCAAAGATCCCCCTTGTCGCTCCTAGCCTAAAATGCCCCACTGGTTTCGGCCACTCCAGTAAAAGCTCTGCAGAGGCCTCTGATGTCCCTAGCATAGAAGCAAAGAGAATTCAAAAATAAAAAGGGAAAATCTATTCTCACGGGTTGAAGCTATGAAAATACGATCACTAAGAAATAACATCTGGACCCTAAATACTATAAACTAATTTTCAAAGAGGTGAACGCCGTCATTACAATCTCAATTGAAAACACATTAATATTTATCATTGTTTTCCTTCACGTGCTCCACAAAGGCAGTCAGTCATCCATTTTGCAGAGGAAGAAAAATGGACAAAGGTGAAGTGTATTGGTCCAGGTAATCTAGAGTGTGTCAAAACCACAAGCAGAATATGAGTCCTGATTCCCAGTTCTGCACTTGAGTTATGGAGCAATGTCGCTTCCCAGCAATAAAACATGCTTATAGGGCAAAAATAACAGATTCCTGGCTCATGAAGAAGTCTGCCAGATACCTTCGTAACAAGTCCATTTGCTGCATTCTCGAGAAGTGTCCTACAAAGGGCTGGGAAGAATTTGCTATGAGGTTGCTGCTTATGGACCCCAATGAAAATGCCCTCCCCTCCCCGCAATACCTTTCATATCTGCTTTTGTTAGTAGGCATCTGCCCCTTGAATCATTCCTGTGTTCCCTTCCTCCCTCTCCACATACTTCCTTCCTTTCTAATCTATCCCACCCACAACACGGCCTTCCCAGTGGGGAAAAGGAGTTGGCTAGCATGGGTTTCCATGCTATTCAACTCTGCTCTAGAGCTCTGGAATAAAGAAAACTGGTGGACAGAAACATCCTAACATCGACAATGACTATCTATTCTTCCTAAACTGGACCTGGAGGAAAAGATTCCTAAGTGGCTCTTTTTGAAAGGCGCTGCACACACAGTTTTTTCAGGTAGAGGTGCAAAGCCTAACAACATAGTTACAGGACCAATGGTTTGAGAGAGAAAAAAAATTAACCCAGATGTGTGCTAGGCTGAATTGCAGATAGACTATAACCGCACCAATGAGGATGAGGAACAAGCACAAAAGCGGTCTCCCTCAAAACAGGCCAATTTCATTTCAATTTCTGTTTTTTCCATAATTTGCACTCTTTCGTTCCCTTATCCTCTGTCAAAAGCAGAAGGTCCTAGAAACGCCAAACCACCTTCAGTTGCAAGATCCTTGTAAAATTCAATGTGTCACGTATTTTGAACAAAAAAAATGGCATACTTGGGAACCGATTCTAGGGGAGAGAAAGAGTGGGGTGCAGCTATTCTCCCAGAGTCATTCTGGGGAGCTCATTTATTATCATGTCAAGAGATCTGAAAGGTACCTGATTTACAGAAATGGGTATTCAGCTTTTTTCTGGGAGAGAAAAAAAAAAAAAAAAAAACCAACAACGTCCCTTGCAAAGCCTCTTAGCTTGACCTCCCCAAAATGAAAATCCCTCAAAATCAGCGCTCATGTTGCAAAACATTTGCTGGCTGGATTAGAAATCTCAGAACACTGCTGTTGGCAACCAGGTAAAAGTTGCTAAATACCAGATGGGAAATTAGATTTTTCTTTTATTTAAATACATCTTTAGCCTGCTTTCCTGCTGAGAGATGTTCAAAATCTTGGGGTTTCAGTATGGTTAACTTTAGGCCAGACCTTACTGAATTTGTAATAACGATTTTAATAAGCATCATATTCACCCAAGGTTTTCATTCTTACCCATTCATAAGGAACTGATGTGTTAACTAAAGGGTTTTGTTTTGGGGCATTTGGGGTTTTTTTTTTGGTCTGGGATTAACAACGAACAACTGCAGACCAAACAAGCAGAAGCAGAGTGAGTAGCAATTTCACACGATGCTATCACTAAATTGCAGAGAGACAGGAACTGGAGAATGACAGGAACAGCTCCTAATATAATCTCCATGTTAAAGAGGAAGAAAAAAAATGAAACTTATGTTGGTCTAAAAAGGTTGCATTTAAGTTATAGGTTCTCCGCAAATAAAATAAAACACTTAAGTCTCCAGCTTTGCCAGTTTGCTTGTGCTTTTGATATCACATGTACCATTAGTATCTGCCTTGCTCTACAAGGCTTTAAGAATCATCAGGGTGTATGCATGTGTGGTGCTAACAAACTCTGTGTTGAACCTTACAGATAATATTAGGGGTTGGGGTAGGGGCAGTCTTCTATTACATGCTCATGGGGCACCTAGCACAGTGATGCCCAGAGACGCTACTACACTATATAAAATGTTATATATAATGTTTCTTTAAAAGAGGTCTAAGCTGGAGGCGAGGCACTGCTACAGATGATGTTACTTGCAAAACCATTTAAAAGTAAGCCTTCCATTTTCAGTGTAAAATGAAGATGGTGCAAACTTGAGAGGTTTCACTGTGTCCCACCCCAGATAGGGGTTAATGTTTTTGCTCTGACAATCATGGCTTCTTTTTAATCTGCTTGCCTGTTCATTAATATGCCTATCCCATGTCAAAGATATGTGGCATGGCAGGAAGCATAATTGATCTCATCGGGCCTTACTGCCTGTGTAGAGGGAGCCCAGGATGATGACTGCAGGCTCCCCCTGGACTGAGGAGCATGCTGATAGGTTTCCCAGCTGCGGCGGCTCCTGGACACACATTTGATTAAAAGCATGCTAGGAGCAAGCCACAAAGTTATTCCACATTGTTTTGGAATAACTGTTGTTCATTCCTTCCTTTATCACTTAATTGACTGAACATGTGGCTAGGTCACAACTTAAGACATGGTTAACTGATTAATCACATCTTAAGGGTAATGTGTGCTGCAGGCCTTAGAGACCGAGAGGAGCTAGCTTGAGTCTCGATAGAAGACCTGGCCTATAATACTTGATGACTGTTGTGTATAAGAGCTGGTGATGAACCTGGCCCCTATTTACAGCACATACAATATGCGAGGAGGGCAGAGAAAGAACAAGCTTTATTACATGCTGTTTCAGCCAAAGCTCAGCTTGAAGGTACCTGTCTCATTTCTTGCGTCTCTGACTCCGAGACTTGGTCTTGCTTTTGGATTTGAACCTGCCTGCTGCTGCCACCTTCTTCTCCTGATGAAGGTCCGGGTTGCGCCACGCTTTCAATAAGCCCAGTGGCTGAAAAGAGAAATTCACACAGTCATACACTGCCATCTGCTTGTAGCAAGTGGAAAATACGGGTGACCCTACCAAGAGAGCCGCGGTATTGTCCTCGAGAGGCAAATGAAAGTTAAAGGAGAACTGCCACGTTCACAAACCTGCCCTGCCTCCAAAAAAAAAAAAAAGAAAGAAAAGAGAATCCTTGTCTACATAACACTAGTCCCTACTTCGCAGGGTCATTGGGCGTGTCTACACATGTATTTATGCGTGCCTAAACTTAATGTGCCTTTGCTTAAGGTGCATTAAAGTGATTTAGGCATGCATCTACATGTGGCACGCTAATGCGCATTAAGGCGCATTCAATTTTAGGCACAAATAGCTCAGTCGCATTAGTGCATGTGTAGGCATGCTAATGTGCGTTAAGGCAGTGCGTACCCAGCGACGCACACTGCATTAATGCACATTAGCACATCTACACATACGCTAATGCACTTTAATTGCACCTAAATTTGATACTTGCTTTATGCGGGTATCAAATTTAGGAAGGATTAGCCTAAAATGGCCATTTTTAGGGTGTATTAAGGGTGCACACGTGTAGACCCACATCCTTAACAGGCCTTAAAAATAGCTAATGTGCCTTAAAATCGGCACGTGTAGACGCTCCTATTCTAGAAGAGCACCATCATCCCCTGGACAGGTTCCTTAATCTCAAGGGACCAGAGGGCATTTCTCTTGGTTGTCAGGCAGCTACTTGAGCCATCAGGCATTTTAAGAAAAAACAAAAACAACACAAAGTTTTTGTTTCTAATAGGAAAAGAAAGTAGTGTCAGTTCTCTTTATGCTTCTTCTTCACTTGCTGGCCTGTTCAGTTTGTAGAATGTCAATCCGGAGAACACCTGCGAATCATGTCATCTAAACCTCGGAACAAAAGGCCAATACTGACGATAACAGCACGCCCCCAGTAACTCAGTGCAGGAGCACGGATTTGACTCCCCAAGCAGCGTGCCACCTGTCCTTTATTTAAAGCCCTGGCTCCTATTGCAATATCTGATCCCTCTCAGCCCAGATCAGTGCTACAATTAAAGGCCATTCTTTGTCATGCAGATTGTCTCGGGGGTTTAGCACCGAACATAGTTGCGCACGAAGACACTCCAGACATCCCCGAAGAGGTCCCCACTTTTAAAGGGGCCCTGCGAGCGAAGGAAGCTGCCGCTGCTGGCTATCGCATGGCCTGACCTAGCGTGGCACAATGACAACAGCTGCTAGAGACATCAGGACAGAAAGTCAGCCAGTCGGAAGCTGGAGCTCGCTCCGGGCCCAAGGAACTGGTGCCAAGCTGGCTGGCCGCCTGACAGCACATACGCTACTACTTTGGATAGCATTACTCCTTAATGAAAAAGGAGACAAAAGCTAAACTAAAAGTACAAAAATCTAAATCCCTTGCAAGTAATTACTGCAAACTCATAATCCCTCGGAATTATTTGGTTATCAGTCTGTTAGTTTCTGGACTGAGACACAGACAAGCAACTCATTCACGGTGGGACTGCTTGCACTATCCAAGCTCCCCTCTTGAATTCTGATCCAAGAGGTATCAAGTATTGTTTTTTTAAATACTGTTTGCAGTAAAATTACTACACTTATCATGCTTAAAGAAACATGGAGGGCGGGGGGGGTGGACAAAACCCCTCTGCCTATTGCAGCAAATGGCTAGACAAGTCTCTTTGTGTTTATAATCGCTCGACTGCTGCTTAAAATGAATAAATGCATTTCAAGACAGGAAAGCTATGTATTCCGCTCTGTTTATCTGCAGAGAGAGACAAAGAGTAAGGAGACAGGGCAGCAAACTGGACAGAGGATGCATTCCCATCTGCCTTTGTAATAAAAAGGAGATCCAATTAAATGGAAAGACAGCACGATTCAAAACTGATCAATGGAAATACGTTTTTCTTTATATAGTTCACAACTTGATGGTGCAGCTCACTGCCATAAGATTTCACTGAGGTTAAGAGGCCTCAGAAGGTTTGGAACATTTCTATGAAAAGCAAACATACCCCAGATACAAGAGTGAAGAGCTTTCGAAGGGGTAAAACCCTCATGGCTTTAAAGCATAAGGAAACTTCTAAGTAGTGGGGGTTAGGAGGACACTTCCTCTAGGAACGAGCTACCCCAAAAAACACACTACAGGACATCTCACATATTCTTCTGAAGTAGCTATCGCTGGACTTCACTGAAGACAGGACTGGATAAGCCTCAAAGTCTAGTCCAGCAGAGTAGAAATCTCATTAAGGAAGAAGAAGCAGGTAACAGTAGGTGGTTAAACACGAGTTACGGCTTTGGCCAACAGAATAAGGCTTCATGAGAAGATCCAACGCAATCTGAAAACTGGTTCAAGAAAGCTACAGTGTGTATGGGATGAAAACTTGCTTTAGGACCACGTCAATGGTTGGTTTTGGGTGGGTATTAAAATAGCAGGGTGTAGGTTGTGTCTTTAGACCAACACGGCTACAGGCAGACAAGGTTCTTTGGGTAAACCAATATCTTTTACTACACCAACTTAAATAGTTGGAAAACAAAAATTAGCAAGATTTCCGGTTTCAAAACCCTTCGTCAGGCTGAAGAAGTCTCTGCAGTTGGTGTGTGCTCTTCCTAGATGGAATGAATAGTATGAAAATGGCATTGTTTTGTACCAAAAATCTGCACAGTCCTGAATACTCAAAACCATAGCATGTTATGGGGTAGCATCTGCTGTCAAAGAAGTTGATAAATGTGATGGTATCTCTACAGAAAATCCATCTAGTCTAGGAATTAAAAGCTGACGCCCCTTCCCCCCCCCCTTTAGAAAAAAAAGTCAGTATTTTTTTCCATCACAGGAAGAAACACGAGAAAAAAAATGACAGATTGAAACGCAGTCAGTGACTGCCATCTCGTGGCAAGAAGTATTAGTGGCAAAGGATGTGGACTGAACAAACAAGGGAGAAGTTTTGGTGGCACTGTAGAAGTCAAGATTTCCACAACCTTCAGTTGCTCTCGCTGGCGTTTCCAACTTAAACAGTGAAAACACAGGTGGGGAGGGGGGAGGAGAACAACTTCTTCAAACTTACTGACTCAGATGCAAACAGAACAGAGTGGTGGGAAATGAGGCAAGTAAGGCTGCACACCTAATTATTTTATGTAACCAGCATTAAGTCCACCAGGAACTGAACACCAATTTGCCTGCGTAACTTAGTGCTGAGAAATCAGCAGGTTGTTTTCCCTCCAAGCTGTTGTGCTGACATTTTGGTGCCAGGTGTCCAAGAGTTACTTCCTTAAAAATGAACAAGCTTTTCCAAGCCTCAGTCTTTGATGACTGGTCAGCAAGGGAACATTTTGCTCCCTGCTGGAATCCAATTTTAGTCTGGTGCACAGCAAGCTTTCTGTCGGCTTTCTGTTGCAGTTCAATGCTTAATATGCTGGGAACGTATCCATTTAACAGGTTTGTTCCTTGATTAATTATACACTTCAAACCCTCTGGACCTAACTGAGTCTTACCTACTATTTTAGGATACTAATCCTTATCCCCCCATCATGTTACCCAAGGGCCATTTATGTTTGAAAGGGAATCAGGATTAACCCCATTTTTCTCCCACCCAGGTTAAAGAAGCTGGTGCTAGCAGAAATATGAAGAGGAGGAAGTGCAAATGGCTAACTGTATTCTGGCTGTTGTGGAAAAGTTTTTCAGCATTTGTCTTAGTAGTTAGACTGAATTCATCTGGTTACTGTTACTGGTACATTTTAGTGCACAAAAGATTATGGCTTTTAAAATGAGCTCCGTGTTACAGGAAGCAGAACGAAGGGAGCTCTGCTGCTACACGGTCTGTTATTATTGAGGTCAAGTTTATTGAAGTTGGTGTTTAACACCTTGCTTGTTTTAAGTCCCGCTGAGCTGGAAGTCAGCAGTTTTAAACAGGCTGTAATTAAATGAATGACAGGTTCAGTGTACAGCTACTTGCTGTAATTGCCATCCAAAAGGAAAAAAGGCTAGGATACATGCTGGTGAGGCATGGATGGAAAACAACCCTAGTCAAAAGCAAGGCACGAAGGCAATGGACTCGAAACAAAAAGCAACTAAAAATGGAGACCAGAAACTGAAAGAAGTTCACATCCCAGCTCGTCGTTTTTCAACGCTGCCAGCAGCGAGTTTGCACAACTCAATTTCTGACTGTCCACCCTGACAAAACGTTTATCTGTTTGTGAAAAACCCCTTCCCTTCTAGGATGTCTCCAATAAGGCACCCAAATTCAAACAGCCCATAACTGCAAGTGACATGGGAGCCTGGTTTTCTCCAATTTAAAAAAAATCCCCACTTTTCGCATTAAAAAAAAGTAACCCAAAATCCACATTTTTCCATGAACACCACGAGAGAGTGTGTGCGTGTGTGTGTGTGTGTGTGTGTGTACGTACACATACATATACACATATACAGTGGTGATCATGGAAAAATGTGGATTTTGATATAGTGGTGATCATGGATAAATGTGGATTTTGGGTTCAGTTACTTTTTTTTTTTTTTAACAGGTTACTTCCTTTATTTTTTTCCGTGATCAAAATGAAACACCACTATATAAAGAGACAGAGAGACAGACAGACAAAGAGACAGACAGAGAGAGATATTATTGGCATTTCATGTTGATCACAGAAAAATGTGGATTTTGGGTTACATTTTAATTAAAAAATTGGGATATTTTCAATCAGAGAAAACCAGGATCCCTGCTAATGACTTCTGAAAACATAGGCCTGAGAACAGAAAAACAAATCAAACCCGGGTTGAAATCAAAATCTAAGCATATTCAGTGCAAGTTTGCCCATATCATCTCCATCTCCACACCCCACCCCTTGCCCTCGTACTCAAGTGCCAGTTCCCCTCGAAGCTGGCAGATGATCTCTTCCTATCAAAGCTTTCTTTGTTATCGTTGGCTTGATCTCATCTCTGTTAGACTATGCCAAAAGTGGGAAGAGACTGGCACTGTAAAGCGTGCATAGAGTTCCTCTAAGTTTTGTCAACAATTAAAGAATGTTGCTTGTCGACAAACCGACTTCCTGGCAGATCGCTTTGTTTCTCATTTACCTGCTTGCCAAATGGAACTGCCCAAATCCACCTGGGGAGACTTCCTCGTGGAGACAAATCCCAACGCATCCTCCAGAAACTGGATCTTCTTGCTAAACTGCATTTCCAAGATCGGGATGGCATTTGGCATCTTTGCTGACAGCAGCTGGTAAGAGATGTCTGGCTTGCCAATAAACCTCTGACGAACACTGATCTCATACGGTGTATGCACTTTGATATCATCCACGTCTTTCAATTCAAACCGGTGAATGACCTGAGAATTGCTGTCACTGATTTCCAAGCCAGAAACCAGGAGCGTGAGTTTTCCTGGCTTGACGCTAGCGTCTGTTCTGTGGGTGATGATAACTGGGATCCTGAGAAGAACTTCCTCTTGCTTCTTCGAGGTGGAAATTGTGGCAGTTTCCTTTGGCTTCGTTTCCAGTGGCGATTTCCAGAGTTTGCTGCTAAACGGCCACCAAGAAGGAGATTCGAGTTCAGTCAACAATCTAGTGATGAAAAACATAATGTAAAAAGAAAGCAAGTCAGTGGACAGTCCACACCATCCTCCTAATCCAAAGCAAATTAACTGTTTTGATTAAGGGGAAAAACACTGGAAAACAGATTTTATTCTTATAAGCATTTAAAAAAAGCCAAAAACACTTTGAATGGTACAGCATTAAACATCAAAAGATCTCTAAACACTATAAAAAAAAATAGCTAAAAGCTTTGACATCCCTTAAGCGAAACAGAATTACACAGACCTATCACCAGGGATCCTAGTTTTCTTCTATTAAAAAAAAAAAAAAAAAATCCCCAATTTTTGTTTTAAAAAAAAAATAACCCCAAAATCCATGTTTCCATTATTAAAATGAAATGCCATTGTATCTATATTAGTGGTGTTTCATTTTAATCATGGAAAAAGGTGGATTTTGGGTTACTTTTTTAAAGCTGAAAAATTAGGGATTTTTTTTAATTACAGAAAACCAGGATCCCTGCCTATCACACTCCAAATCCAATCCTCTGGCAAAAGCAATTGTATCATGTAATCCAGTTCACAAACTTCATCTGGAAAGTAGCCCGTCCTGCCCCTTTTGGAAGGCTGTTTCAGAACCTCACTGATATGAGCAAAAGAAATTTCCGATCTTAAATGTATTCACAGCTACTTTAAACCCATTTATTCTCATGCCAACAATGTCCTTTATCTTCAATTCCTTTTTATTCAATTTAGAAAGCGGAAAATTCAAAAGAGAAGCTGCCCAAGACAGGTCCATGTCAGAGCTGGGAACCGAACCAGGGAAACAAGCCTCCTACTTTGGACTACGGGTGTTTGAGTTTGTTATCCATGAGCAAAAGGGCTGAGTTTTGCTCAAAGTTTGAGAATCAGTGGGTGGAAACAGGAGAAGATGCTCCTCGTGCATTCTCCCTCAATGAGATTTGTTCTTTTTTTGACATCCTTTTCTAAATGGGCTATTCCCTCACCATTAGCCACTGCCTTTTAAACATAAAAGGAGGAGAGGAGAAGGGTACAAGACCAGTCTCCCCTCCACTGCCTATGATAGACTCTACCAATGAAGGGAAGAGATCTCCAAGTCCTCCCCCATTTGGGAGAACAGGTCAAAATATAAGATCATAGGAAAGTAGGGCTAGAAGGGACTTCATAAGGTCATGTAGTCCAGTCCCCTCTGCTCAATACAAACTCATCCCAAATGAAAAATGTTGCAACAAAGACATGCAACACCTTCACATATATAATAAATGCACAATGGGTCGAATTTACTACTGAAAAATTTCAAAAGATGTCTTGAAACAACAACTCACTTTATAAGCTTTACTAGTTTAGTGGAATTTGTGGGGGATGATTTTGAATTAACGTGTTTGTTGCTTTTTCTGTCCTCTGGCAGAGGTGCCACCCAATGAAACGATACACTGTGCTGGGGCTATCCTGGTACAGATGTTTTAAAACAGGCACTTGCACAAGTAGAAACGCTGTTGAGAATTCGAGACCCTGATTAGTTTGGCAGCAGACCCAGTTTAAAAGAGGAATATTCACTGAATATTCTTTGTTCACTAGCCATCAGACTTCTACTCAAGATTCAAACCCTGCCCAGGGGGTAAAAAACAAACAAACAAACAAAAATAAAATCAAGCTACTTTAAAAGATAAAAAAATAGAACATATTAGAAAGTGAGAGAGACTGGGGGGTGGGGAATCACTGAATTTATGAATAAAAAATGGTAGTTCAATAAATTGTTGCAAGAACCTGCACCCAATTACAAAACAACCATAGTGTATTGGCATACGTAGCATGGAAGATAAAGCAATGGACCAGGAGCTTCAGGCTGACGATGGAGGTACAGTAAAACATCTCAAACAAAAAATGCATTGAGAGATGCAGTAGAAGTCAAAAGAAGCAAGAGAAGTCAAAAGTTTCACACAACTGGTGCTTTAGAACCTATGATGTTCCAGGCAGAGAAGAACTGAGCCTGCAAGTGCACTCAACCTCCCCAGATCAAGGCTGGGGTGCCGCAAGTCTGATTTATGATCACAATATGCAGTACTAAATCTACTGTAGGGTTGGAGCAACTCTTCTTGGCTTCTTGAGAGCTCACTGGTAGTGCAAACTGCAGGATCAGGGCTGGGGATTTTCCCTAGAGCTGGGACCTAATCTTGTACCTAAAGCACCTTGTAGTACAGGAACAAATGGATAAACTTGCTGGTCTCTGCAATCCCTTGCTCGGATGCCAGACTTAGCTTTGCCCCGAAACCTCTATGCTCAGGCACGAGAGCAGCATTTGGTATATTGGTTATTATGCTGTAGATATAACAAAACAATGCAGCAAAATCCACATTATACACACTTGGGTCTTTGGCAAACCACGCAATTCATGGCCGGTTCCCAAATGCAGGATGAGCTGCTCAACTGTTTAATGTGGCTTCTGTTTTAAAGGGTGTGCTTGTTAATTCACACAGCTGAGCACCCTGGCTGGCTCCAATAGCTGCCCCAAGCTGGTTCACAGCAGTGGATCTGGGGGTGGGGGAGTCACTGGTGCACTTGCACCTTCCCTTGATTGCTACTCCACCCAAATTGGGTGGCAGCAGCATTTCTAATTAGGCAGTGCTGAGGGAATCTAATGACTTAATAGCTACTTATATCTAATCTACCTATTCCCTTCCCCACTCTTCATTAACGACCCTCTCTTCTTTTTAAAGGTCTTGATGTTCCACCAATCAAGTTATCCTTTGCTCTGCAATTCTGCCGTGTTAGCTCCTCCTGGCAACAAAGCTCCTATTTCACAGCCCTGCAGATCATTTTTAACATGTTCTAAGGAATTTGGATTTGTTTTCGCTTCAGTATGAAACAGAATAATACAGTCCAAGGCCCAAGCATATTAGTCAAGTGCCTAATTTATGTTTAATTGCAGAAAAATGTGTGTTTCATAGATTTCATAGACATTAAGGCTGGAAGGGACTTTGCGAGATTCACTGGGTCTAGCCCCCTGCCCAAAGGGCAGGAGTCAGCTGGGGTCAGATGACCCCAGAAAGATAAGCTGTTGTTTTATACGTGATGATGAGGGATCTTGGTTTTGTCTGATTTCTAAAAATCCCCAATTTTCGGTTTTAAAAGAATAACCCAAAATCCACATTGTTCCACGATTAACATGAAATGCCACTAAATCTACATCTATATATTAGTGGCGTTTCGTTTTAATCGTGGAAAAATGTGGATTTGGGGTTACTTCTTTTAAATTGAAAATTGTGGATTTTTTTTTTTTTTTGAAATCAGACAAAACCAGCATCCCTGGTGATGATGTGCCTCACCATCTGCACCTCCCCTTTTTGAAATTCTAGATCTAGCCCATGTTGGTTCACAAACCTCCATTTGCACAGAGGGCAAAAAAACCTAACTTCATAAAATATCTGGGTTCTGCCATCATCCAAAAATGTGTCACACATGGGCAAGGTGAGATCAGTCTGAGTTTTGAGTGTTTACAGGCCCTGCTGTGTGATATTTTATAATGAACTTCTGTTTCTTAACAAAAGGAAAGCAAATTAACATAATTGATCTCTTTACTGCTTTAATAGGGTGCCCCCGTAGTACAAAACTTTCACAGCCACCAATACTCCAGAATAAAGAGCAGCATAAAATGACCACTGCCAACAGACTAGTCCATAGTCCTTTAAATAGCATCTTCGCTCTTAGAGTCCACATTTCACACATCTTAAAGTCAGAAAGGTCCTTATAATCTTCTTGTCTGACTCGCTGCATAAGGTAGGTCTGGAAACTGCAACGATTTTTTTGTTCCATCGACCCCACGACAGTTGCTTAATTTAGAGTTTTTATCACCAAAACAAACGAAGAAACTAAAACCCACCACCCAACCTGGGTTCGGATTTCAAGTCAGGCAGACTTCAGTAGACCCCAGATAATTGTTCCAATAATTTGGTGATTCTCATCAGGGTGTTGCAGCACCCTGGGGTGCCCTAAGATCCTGTCAAGGGTGTTACAGGGATGCTGTACACCATTAGCACTGTAAAGTATGCAAACATGATTCACAAGATAAACCAGAGATTTAAAACAGGAATGCGTAGTGGTAAAAATATTCTCTCCTGCTGTGATCTTTCTGAGTTCTCTGCAATGGAAGAATTGCTCCAGTATTTTTTGTAGTCAAAAAACAAGTGAAAACTAAGAGGTGGCATTTTCTGAGGTGTGCCTGGAGTCTAAAAAGGTTGAGCCTCACTGCAATAGTTAAATATAACCACTTATAAAAATTTCTCACATACTCTGCATAGCCCAAAGAGATTTATTCTAAATCAGCAAGAACTGGTAATTAGTCCAGGGATCCTGGTTTTCTCTGATTAAAAAAAATATTCAATTTTTGGTTTAAAAAAAGGTCACCCCAAATGCAGTTTTCCATGATTAAATGAAACACCACTAATATACAGATACCAATATAGCAGTGTTTCATTTTAAAATCATGGAAAAATGTGGATTTCAGGGTACTTTTTTAAACCAAAAATTGAGGAGTTTTTTTTTTAAATCAGAGAAAGCCTGGTAATAATCCCCGGTAATAACAGTTTTAAGATGGGCCTGAGAGTATCCCTGATTAAAGAACTAGCCCTCTAGTAAGGTTTCACTGAAATCCTCCTGGATTTTATACATGTGCAGTATAAATATACTTGCAGCAAAGCCAACACAGGGGCTTCCTTTCAACCCAGGAAAGATAAAATTAATAGATCAAAATCTGCTCAACTTCTCAAGATGCTCACTCTTGAGCTGAGATCAAGTATGGACACTTTCATCACATGATTATTTTTCAAAAACCAGAATTAAAACAGATACTTTCTTTCAGCTGTCATTTCTCATTGGTGTGCCTGGTTTTCTGTCCGAGAAACGGGGATAAAGACGCTGACCTCTGTAAATTGCTTTGGGATCTACTGGGGAATACTGCTAGGTAAGAGCTAGGTAACAAAGTGATTAGAGTACAACACAGCTTCTGGCAAGTAAATAGCAATGTTTCTGGTACTTCAGGGTGTATAATTCTAATAGGATGATCAAAACACATGTTTAATGTGTTAATTACTGAAAACAACAGGGTCTACTAAAGCGCACCTGCTAATTCTTTATAGAAGAAAAGTCCAGCTATACAAATAGTGATAGTCTATGAGCATAAGAGCAGTGAAATATCACCTAGGTATAAAACTAGATCTGGCAAACCTGTCATGTCTAGTCAAAAGGGATTATTTTCTATCTAGAATGAATTACTTCGTTACTATTCTATTTTACGTTTCTAGAAGGCACCTCTGATCCATCTGTTTATTGGAGGCAGTCATTCATCCTCTCAAGTTGCTTTCAAAAGTAATGAAGTGATCAGGGTGCAATTCAACCATTTACACAGATGATCGCTGTACCACTGTCCCTGAAGACTGCTCCTACCTTGGAATGTTAAATAGGGTTTAAGTAGTGCAAAAGCCCTGTGGGTACAGAGATGAACATCATCCTGTACTCCCTTTGGTGAAGGTAGAGGCAGATCTGTTGGTTCATGCGATACCCCATAGTGACCAAGCTACCTGCCCCACCCTGCCCAACGGGGATAGCAAATGCCTCGCTGCCCCACCTGCTGCACCTTGATGGATGTTGTAAGTCTACCCTAGGAGGTGATCGATTCCCAATCCCCGAGTGTGCCCATCAGATCCCTGCTTGGCCTAGCTTCACCCATTGGCCAAGCCCCAGTCCGGCTCACAGCAACGGATCCAAAATCCACTACTGCTCCATGCCCCACTGGCACCTGTCTCACTAACAGATTGGTCCCTATTGGTGCCCTCAAGACACTAACTCACTTTAGGGGCACGAACTGTGGCCTCCAGCCTTCTCCATAGCCGTGCCCACTCCTCACAGGTCTTACTCTCAAATTCATTCACCAGCTGGCCAGACCCCTGGTCCTACTAAGGCACTATTTATTTCTCTGGGCTCCCGGCCCCATCTTGATTTTACCCCTAACCTTAGCCTGTCTTGCTCTGCTCAGCCCTTGGCCTGGGGCCCCTTCACACCCCCTACCTCTTTGCAGGTCCTGAAACGCAGCGTGCCCTGAACACCCTGCCGCATGGCCCCCAAACCCCCGCCACAGCCACAACCAGGTCCTCTGGTCAGGACCAGTGGCCAGCAAGCCGTTTCCCACTTACTATGCCACTGCAAAAGCTTTTTCCCCCTGCTCCCTCCCAGCCTCTTGGGCTGCTTTCCAGGCTCGCAGCTTCCACTCCTTTGCAGCCCAAGCTGGCAGGAGCTCCCCTCCTTGCAGTGTTCAGGGCCACACTGGTCCTTCTGCCTAGATGTATATCTCCCAAGCTCCTCTTCTTCTGATCAGGTGTGCCTGCCCTTTCTGCTTAATAAGCCGCCTACAGCTGTTTCTCCGGCTAAGCTGCTATGGTTTCCTTCCTGCTTCCCCTGGGCTCTACCCTACTGTTTTATTGCTAGGGAGCAGGTACTTGCAACCCTAAAGATCCTTCATTGCCTCCTACAGCCAGCCCCTGTTCAGCTGCCTGCACCTGCCTGTGGGTCGTGTCTGCTCTACTCTCTAATGCCTTAAACAGGATCCTCTGGCTCCCTGTTGCAGCTTGCTCTTCTCCCAAGCAAAAAATCCTTATGGCGATGATCAATACCTCTTGCAGAAGACTCAAAAGTGATGGCTACCATGTACTTCAAGGTCTTAAGTGTCCTACGTTGGGTGACAAAAACTATTGTTCTCTTGCGAGGGCAACATCCAAAGCCGATCTTGTTTGTGCAACCCCATTTATCCAGATGGCAGAAAATATGAAAGGGTTAATGCAAAACAAATATATCAGGGTCTCCTTCTGCACAGAACCCCATAACCACTGAAAATAGCAAGCAAGAAAGATGATCTACACAGCTACTACTCACACAGCAACTTTCAAAAGAAGGCAACTGGCCGAGAAGGAAAAGTTCTCATTTTCCTTCATCTCTGGCCATTCAAGTAAGAATGTACCATAAGAGTCAACTGATATTATAATCATTATTTCAGATTTAACCACCAATCAGAATTTATATTTTGTTTGCCTGCATTGCAAACGTGGATTTCTGCTTGTATTTCTGCAGTTGCACGAAAACCAAAGGAAAAATTAAATGAACAATGAAGGAGTCCCCAAAAAGTAAGGTGGGGCCTTAAAACACGATTCAGCTAAAGGTTCTTATGTGCTGTTTTGAGCTGTAAAAGATGTCAGCTAAACCCTAAAAAAGAATCTCAACTAGCATTTGTTTGTCTTCCTTTATTCTCCCAGCTGTAAATCCAAGATTCAAAAACTTGTTTTTCAGATTCACGAAGACAAAATAATACCTCCCAATGCATCTAAATCGAAAACAGACACCTCTTCCAAAAACAACGAAGGCGTATTTACTTTCTGGATCATTGTTTGTTACTACATATATAGATTTAAAATCTGCTTCCGAAGCCTACAGTTTCTTTGGCTTCTCATTAAAGGATGTAAAGAATATCATCATGGATCATTAGGAAATCAACACTTTCCCTTATACCCAACATCCTTTCAAAAACAGAGGCTTCATCCAAAAGAAACTAGTTTGAACTCCGTTATATCAGTTACTTTATGCAACTCTGCCTTCCAGAAGTAACCTTGCAGTGGCTCATCTTCAGGGATCCTGGTTTTCTCCCGGATTAAAAAAAAAAAATCCCCAAGTTCCAGTTTAAAAAAATAGGAACCCCAAATCCACATTTTTTCATGATTAAAACAAAACACCACTATATCTCTATATTAGTGGTGTTTCATTTTACTTATGGAAAAATGTGGATTTGGGGTTACTTTTGTTTAAACTGAAAATTGACGATTTTTTTTTCCAGAAAAAAAAAACAGGATCCCTCCTATCTTTAACATGCACATCAGCTTACAAACCTATTCCATGTTGACTATGGATTTTTCTTGTACTATACAAACTACAGGATACAAGGCATTAACTTCAGGTTTCAATAACTGGTAAAACATCTGAAATAGTGAAGCCTGACCTTTCAAATTCAGATGCAGATATGGTTTTAGACATCTGACTTCCTACAATATTTAAAGCAAAATATTTCTGAGCATTGCAAGTACTCCAGCATCTGATAAGAGAGCTTGGGCCATGTCTTCTGCTTCTTCTATCACCACAACTAAAGCATGTTTTGCTGGCAGAATTTAGCAAGCCCTTCAGTGTTGCATACAATGAGGCAGGATCCAGCAGCTAACTGTTCCCTAAAGTCTGCTGGGGATCAAACAGGAGTGAGCATTTTAGCTGTGTAACAAGTGGCTGTGCAATGTGAAAACGCACATGGAGAATACAGGTGTTATTTCTACAGTCAATTCTCTGGTTCCAGCTATATTATGGCTAAAATACCTTCCATCCCAAACTGCAGGCTTTGCATATGAGGGGGAAGAAATCCTTCTCTCAGGTCCAAAGCCCTTACTGGCCTCATCCACAGCTGGATGATACCTCAAGTTCATTTTCCAGCTTTGTCTGCTTTGTGCAGCAACAGCGGCTGAGCTCAGTCCTACAGTCACCCATCCTTTGGGGTACAGGACCCCCTTACAACAAAACTAACCTGAGATCCACGTGAATGAAGCAGGGATTGACTTTTACCTGGCATGAACATTTGCCCTCAGAGATCATTTGTGGCCACCAGACCAGCGAGGACGTTCAACATTTTCTAATCAAGGCAAGGAACTGGAAGACCAGAGAACTGCATCTTTAAACAAGGGGGCATGAAAAGCAATGTGCAAACTCTCAAAAACCCCATGATAAAGTTTCAGACAGGTACAATGCACATCATCAGTCACCGTTCAAGCTGAAATGCAGCTACCATACCTGTCGGCTACGTCCATGTCAGACTCGATCTTGTTCAGTCCTTTCACGATATTATCAAACTGCTCGCCCTGGTACTGCAGCACCTTGGCCGTGTCCTCCAGCCGCTGCTGGGATCCGGCCAGCAAGCCGGTTAGTTCTTTCCCCTTGGTCATCTCCAAAGACGCTTGGGCACCAGCTCCATTCTGCGATAGCAGCTGCTCCCGCCAAAAGTGTTCAAGGATGTTGAAGACCACATTTCTACTGGGCTGGAGGGAGCTGAACCAGTGCTTGGTGTTCTTCTCCAGGAGTGTGAGGGAGCTGAAAATTAAATTGGAAGACTCCTTCTTGATCTCACTGATGCTGGACAGGTGGAAGTGGACCAGGAGCTCTCCTGTCTTGTCAGCTGTAAATTTGACTGCGACAGGAGTCAGAGAGAGTCTGCCGGAGACCCATCGTTTCTCAGTGTCCAAGTAATAAGAACAGGGCCAGGTATGGATGCGTATGTCCTCGTTCATCAGCTCGCCCTCAAGATTCACTTCCACAAGGACAAGGGATCTGCCACCTCCAAAGCAAGGAGAAACTAAAGTGAAAATGGGAGGGAAAACGTACAAAATGATCTGTCAATTAGCACATACGTAGGTTAAGGACATCCCTAATGGCATCTCTCTTGTGAGCACCCAATCTTAGGGTATGGACAGATGCTCCAAATCCCTTTAATGCACTCTAAGAAAGTGAGGTTATAAATGATACCCAGTCACAAAGCAGCCCAAAATGTCTGAGAAATGACCCTGGATGGCACAGGAACTGTGAAGCGCTTCATAGTCTAGTCTCTACCCTGTGGCAAAGTGCATTAGGGAATAGGTTGGTCTGCCAGCATCCCACAGTGCTTTGCTCTGCTTTGCACGTGCTCACACACACAATGACCACTCTGACTTGCTCCCAACATCACTGCTCTGGGCTCACAACCCCTGCCCTGGAAGTGACCCCAGCACCAGTGAGTACCAAGGTGGACTTCATCTGGACCACCCCCCTTGGAGCTTGGCCTTGAGAGTGATGCAGTCTCAGGCACCCTCTCACTCACCCACCGCAAGGGCACCAGAAAGTCTGCATCTGCAAAGCTGGAGGCAAGAAAAGGCCATGGACCTGCTCTCTATCCGGGGTGAAGAGACCACCCTGAGGCCCCTAAGAGCCATTACAACCAGACTACCTATGACAGTCATGACAGAGATGACAACCCATGGACACGACCTAGATTCACATCTGTGCCAAACCAAAGTGGACGTCCTGAAGGCACAAGAGCTCATAATGTCAACTGTGTTTTGGGTGCTCGGCAGGTGATGTGCTCTTAAAGGAGCTGTTGCTTATACTGGCCAAAGGTACCTCTGTTGAGCCCTGCTTTGTTGCTGGCTGTAGCATGGAGGCAGAAACGTCTGACCACAGCAACATCACAAACCTGGAGGACTGTGAGAAGCCTTGGTCAAAGCCCTAGCTAGGGCAGTGCAAGAGCAAGCAGGACCGATCCATTATCCTCCTGATAACTGCCGAATACGATGTACCTGCCCTCGGGACAGGGCAACACCGATGACACCAGGCTTGGGGAGCACCAGCCAACCATCCTGCCAACACCCTGACCGTCCGGCCCACCATGATGGCACCTGGCTATTCCATTATCCCTGCCCGTGTCCCGCACTAACCTCCCACCACTTGTTCTGCTGATCACCTTGCCCTCATTTCAGCCACCTGGAGGAAACACCTGCTTCACTGGATGGGACCTGCTACACCTGTCCAAAGCATTCACAAATAAATGACGAGCATGGGAAAAAGCGCCGCTAGTCTGGCAGCCACCAAATATATTATAGACGTAATATATCTGCATTGGCAGATTCAACCGAAAATAAATTAAAATTCACACATGAAGATACAACACATCCACATCTCTCTCATACTCCGCTGATAAGGGGCATCCACACTACAGCAGTTCTGGGCACCCCACTTCAGGAGGGATGTGGACAACATGGAGAGGGTCCAGAGGAGGCCACCCGCATGATCTGGGGACAACTAGGCAGACCCTACAATGAGGCTGCGGGACCTGAACCTGTTCAGCCTTCACAAGAGAAGGCTGAGGGGGGACCTGGTGACTGTCTATAAACTCACGAGGGGGGACCAGAAGGGTTTGGGAGAGACCTTGTTTCCCCTCGCGCCCCCTGGCATAACAAAGAATAACGGCCACAAGTTGTTGGAGAGGAGGTTTAGATTAGACATCTGTAAGAACGACTTCACGGTCAGGGCGGCTAGGATCTGGAACCAACTTCCAAGGGAAGTGGTGCTGGCTCCTACCCTGGGGGTCTTTAAGAGGAGGCTTGATGCCTACCTGGCTGGAGTCATTTAAGTCCAGTTTTTCTCCTGCCCAGGCAGGGGGTCGGACTTGAAGATCTACAAGGTCCCTTTGACCCGACTTCTATGACTACGATTTGCTACTGCAGGCAAGTGAAAACCAAGAGTATTCTTGGAGCAATGCGAAAGCACTTGCCAATGGCAACGATACCTCCAGAGCCCAAAAACTGTGTCTCCCAACAGTGCCAACCAAGCCTTTTTTTTTTTTCCATTTATTCCTACTCCTAGAGCTTTTTATGCCTGAATATTACAACCCCTAGCAACACTTGAAAAACAATCTTATTGACAAAGGCGGAATGCCATGGGCAGAAAAAGAAAAAAAAAAATACTCTAATGATGGTAGATACTGGTGAGGACTGATGTGACATGAGACCTTGTCAAGCCAATTCAGAGAAGGGAATTAATGTTTTTCGGATGTGCTGTCAAAAAATAAAGGGAACTGCTTACAGAAGACAGGTCTTCAAGGATATGCAGAAGGAGGATGAGGTGGGGGAAGAAGAGGGTAGAAAAAAGGACATAAAGGAGTGGACAGAATTAGCCAAGACAATTAACTAAAAAAATTATTGATGAATAAATAACTGTTGAGAGAACCGGTTTATCATGCTGCCAACCCTCACACTGAGGATAGCTGATGACGAGATGATGATTAAAACTACCTACATTCCCAAGTGACTTCATCTCGACATTATGTTCTGGATGGTGATCTATCACTTCCTTATAAGCACGCATTGAACACTAATGATTTAAATACTTGTGAGTTAATTATCTCCTTAACAACTTGGATGCATCCTAAGAAAATGACAACTCAGTGCTGCATTAGGTATTCAAGGTGCTCTGGAGCATTGTGCAGTGTTATCAATGAAAGATCAGAAAAAAAGACATAATCCTCCTCACTTTCCATCAGATTAATCCAGACAGATGTTTACACTGTGATCCTAGCTAGTAATTTGACTTCAGTGGGATCTGCTTTCCCCTGGGGGAATCCTAAAGCAAGAAAGAAAGGTTTTCCTCTTGGTTTGGATTATCAGTAATCTGTAATTCCCATACTCTGCAGAACTCCCTGCATTTAGTAGTGACCAAATCATTTATACTCAAGTACAGGAATTCATAAGCCCCTGGCAATGACCTTTCTAACCTGATTATTTATATTGCTAGTCGCATTTAAAGCCAAAGGGATTACTCACATTAGGATTACTCACACAGGGCCATATTCCAACACCCTTACTCAAGTATAGCTCCTTATTCCACAAGTATCTGATGCAAACAAAGGCGCCACATACAACTTCCAAATGTACAAGGTAGGCCCTGGCTTTATGTTCAGAACTGTAGCAGTTTAATCCTAGTAGGTTTACAATCTCACACACACACACACACACACACACACACACACACACACGTTTGTTCGTTTTTTAATTATCATTTTTTTGGCATACAAAACACATCTTTCCCCTGCAAAATTCAGCTGCAAAATTGGGATTGCATATTAGTATCATATAATATTATAATTGAGGAAGTATAGTTTCTGAGCACCTTGCACATTTCTCCTATCACCTGTGTTCAGTCAGGGACGATCAATGTCAAGAAATTAAAGGCACAGAGAAGGTACACACCTTGCCTAAAATCATATTGAACACGTGCCAAAGTCTGGAACAAAAATCAACATTTCCCAACTCCAGTGCTGTCCCTATTCACTGGAACCTATCGTCTCTCAAATGAAAATGCCTTCAAGACCAGAGAGTAGCAATACATCATCCTATGAAGTACAGATTTGAAAGAGACTGATTCAAAATTTTTACCAAGTCTCAGACTGATTGTTACAATATTTTTAAGGTTTGAAAAAGTCCTCAAGACTGTCCTTTCCAGTGCAGTCATCCAATAGCTTCCCACCCAGAGAGCATTTTCTCCCAGCTCCTTTACATAATTAAGGCTGCACCAAATCCAACTTAATTGCAGCCCTGCAGCCAGGCTGGCATAACTGGCACAAGAAAATACATCTAAAGTTATTTACCTTGAACTGCAGGCTCAGGATCCTCAGGCTGCCATCGTAGGGTCGTCATCTTTCTAAAACGGTTTGTCCCTATTCAAAAATTTCTCTCTCTTTAAAGTCTGAGAAAAACCAAACAGACTGCAAGAGTGGCAAAAATCTACTAAACCCAAATCCAAAAAGGAAAGCAAAAAATTCTAAAAAATAAAGACACTAAAAAACCATATGTTCAAGGCAAGCACCTGTCAAAACACCTCTCTCCAGCTGAAGAAAAGAACTGACTACTGAACACATATATATGACCTCTTATGTCACAAGACTTTTGACTCACCCTGAGGTTTACAAATTCCTTCCAGGTCCTGTGCCCACAATCAGAACGTGTAAGCATGAATCTATTGCTAACCATTTCTTCAGAAATTATATTTTATAGTGTGTGTACATATGTATGTATGTATGTATGTATGTATGTATGTACACACACACACACACACACACACACACACCCCCCTAGAGATATACACACACAAATATACAGATAGATATACACACACATTATATATACACACTGACATTATGTACACACGCATTTAGATATAGATACACACATATATACACAGACACATTATGCATACACACATACACATCTATAGATATATGTGTCGCTCATACATATTATATATACATAGACACATTATACACACACATACACACACGCATGCATGCAGACAGACATATCTGCACCTGTGCACTTAATAACAGTCATATTTATGTAGCATTTTTTTGTTCCAGGTGATGCTAAAATGCAGTAAAAATGTTAAAAGTGCATATATTGATCATTTAGAAATGACTTCACTCAACAGCGAAGGAGAGTCAAAACAGCACAGCACATGGTTACTGTTTAACAGAATATAACAATTACAACAGCTGAAGCCAAGGCTGCAAATATCTTGATGACCAGATCATGAGACCTGGCCAAAATATAAGAAAGAACAGAAAAACAAGTGGGCAGCCTCAGGGGGTGGGGATACTGGGAAGCAGACATTAAATTTGCTTTTAAGCAAACAGTTCCAGCCATGCACTATGCATTTATAATGGCAGGAAAAATAATGATTTTTGATTACTGCTCCTGAACTGCTAAGAAGCTGATACTAAACCCCTGCTCCCCTTACTTCTACCCCAGCCTGTTTCTCTCTCTCATCCACCAGTTGTAACAGCCTTTTTCCTAGACTGTAGGCAGTCTGAGGCTTGGACTGTCATTTACTATATGTTCAACTGTACTGGATGCAATGGAGCCCCCTGATATTTGTTCTTTAGGTGCTACCACACTAGAAATATAAATAATAAGTGCTATACATTACTCCACCAGGTATATCAGAGGTGAAAGAGGCTGACTAAAATCTATTTGCCGTCTTCCAGGATCACACTGAGATTGTGTCCCATAATATATTTGCTGGTGACTTCTAGTAAGATATGGAAAGCCAGCTCCCCACTCCCACTCCCACTCTACATGTCCTCCCAGATCACGACTGCCTGACTTGACAAAACCCACTCGGTGGCCTGCCTTGGCATGATTTAGGCCACTTATTTCAATCAAGTACCCCACAAATTAATACTTGAATATCAGGAGTCCTGGTCTGAAATTCAGCATGTATTTTCCTTTCATTTAAGCCTATTATGGTGCGTTACTCGATTACATTCCAGCGTATCACGCTAAGTGTTACTTCATCATTCATAAGCGTCAGGCAAAGGACATCCAGTAGGCAAAGGAAAGGATTTAATGCTCTCATATAACACTTTGGTGAGACCTGAAATAATATGGACAAGAATGAAACAGGGGCAGGGAACATCTAACTTGATGTCCAGGGGAATGACTAGCCCATCACGTGACAAGGGGTAACAGTGTGGGGGGTAGACTAGCAAAGGACAGGCTAAGAGCAGATACGATCGCTGTCTATAAATACAATCAAGGGGCAAATGGCATGGAGGGAAAAGCATTATTTGCACTACAGGACAACATTAGCACAAATACAAATGGATATATATCGGCTAGGAATATAGCGGGAAGTTAGAAGACGACTTCAGAAGATCAAGGTTGTACAAGAACCGGCCAGGAGATGTCAGGGCAATGCAATCTAAATCGTTCTAAGGTTAAACTTGATCTGTTTTATAGCAAGAACTGTATGACATGATGGTCTGAACAACAGGGGCTCAACTCGGTGACTCAGGACGGGTCCCATCCAGTCCTACGATCCCAAATCTTTGTATACTACTACCACCCCTACCCTGTCATCTTCTCCTAGTCACCCCTTAGTCACCACTTCTTCCAGTCACAAGTCACACGCATCTTACCCTCAGTCTTTCCTAGCCACCTTCTTAGTTATGCTACGAATCTCTTAACCACAGACCACTGTAACTATTCCCGATAATTAACACCCCCTCCTCAAACTGAACACAATACTCCACAGCGAGCTGCATGAGAGATGGACTTAATCAAAGAAAAGGAAACTGGATAAAGAGTTGAGACCCAGGCTGCCACTAAGTCACTCTATGGCCTTGGTCAAGTTCCTTAATGCATGACTGAAGTTCTTCTTTTACATAATAGGGAGAAGGTGAGTCACTGACCATTCTCAAGTGCTTTGGCATCATCGAATGAAACACATTACAGAAGCGTGACTACTTTTTCACAGCCTGACACATGCCGCTCCAGCAGACTGCTGATGCAAAGTTTACTGGCAACTTACAGGGCACTCTTGCAGCACTGGGGTACAGCACACTTCACCTCTCCCTCCACCTCCTTTTATTTTATTTTTTAATTCAATCTCTCACCCCAAACAAATCCACTGCCTTTGGCAGGGGCACTTATTTTTGTCTGGTTTTGAGGGGGGTGCGGAATTTGTTTAGTTTTTCTGTTGCATTTCTAATCACCCTATACCTCCGTTTCATTGCCAGCCGCATCAAAGTGTGGATGGCAGGAAGTCAAGACAACCGAGTAGCTCTTCTGAAAGCCACTGCTAGGCTAAAAAAGGCTCGGCATCCTTATAGATGCAAGCCTTACAGAGCTGCTTTAAACGCAGCTCCAGAGACACGGGAAGGGTCAGAGGACACGGGATGACAGGACAAGGAGCAATGGGCTCAAGTTGCAGCAAGGGAAGTTGAGGTTGGATATTAGGAAGAAGTTTCTCACTAGGAAGGCAGTAAAGCACTGGAACAGGTTACCCAGAGAAGTGGTGGCATATTCATCCTTGGAAGTTTTTTAGACCTGAGTAGATAAAGCCTTGACTGGGATGATGTAGTTGGGTCCTGTTTTGAGCAGGGGGTTGGACTACACGTGACTTCCTGAGGTCCCTTCCCACCCTCATTTTTTATGATTCAGGTGCATGCTCTCAGTTGGGGAAAAGGTAAGGATATAAGCAATGCCCACTAACTACTCAGTGCTGGGCTATGGCATCCCTAAAATAAACAGGCTCCTGGCACGCTCAATAAATATTTCCCACGTGTCCTAATATATACATTTATGCTAAATATATCAATTGCTCCAGTGCCTTCTCATTTGTAGAGTTCATAGACATTAGGGCTGGAAGGGCCCTCACGAGACCATCAGGTCCAACCCCCTGGCCCAAGCAGCAGGATGTCAGCTGCAGTAAGTGGACCCCAGCAACATAAGCATCCAAGCATTTCTTATTTACTTTTTTTTTTTCTATTATTTTAAGAGTCCCTTTACATCATTCATTTGTTCTTCTAATACATTCTTCTAATTCTAAATTATGCTAATTTATTCTAATATATTCCCTATGCACAAGGTGGAGACATTACAACAGGGGCTGGTCAGTTTTATTATGCATTTCTCATGGACTCCTCTACTGACTTCTTTATTTGCCACGATTTTATAAACTCCTGTGTGTCTGCATATACTTTGTTAGGCTGATGCATTACCCTGCTCAATTCAGAACTGACCATGCTGATTAATTATCCAAATCCTAGAGAACGAGGGTTGGAAGGGAGCTCAGGAAGTCACATCTAGTCCAACCCCCTGCTCCAAGCAATTAATTTGGAACTGACCATTCCAAATAATTATTCCAATCATTTCACAATTATCCAGGCTTGTTAATTATCTTATTTCAGAAATGCCCACCCTTATTCATTACCCTAATTACTTTAGAATTGTCCACCCTTATTAGCACAGATCCTGGTTTTTCTCTAGTTTAAAAAAAAAAAATCCCTCAATTTTTGGTTTAAAAAAACCAAAAACCCCCAAAATCGACATTTTCCTGTGAATAAAATGAAACACCAAGATATAGATACAGGGGTGTTTTGTTTTACACACAGGAAAATGTGGCTTTGGGTTGTTTCAATCCAAAAATTGGGTTTGGGTTTTTTTGGTTTCAACCCAAAAATTGGAAGGCCCCCGGGGGTGGGGTGGGGGGTGTTCAACCCAAAACCTGGGGTTTGGAGGGTTTTTTTTATTTTGGTTTCAACCCCAAAATTGGGGGGGTCAACCCCAAAAATTGGAGATTTTTTTTTAAAACCAAAACTTGGGGATTTTTAAAATTTAAACCAGAGAAAACCAGGATCCCTGCGCATCAGTTAATCTAATTATTTAATAATTATTCATTCTGATAAGTGATCCTAATGAACGCGGGCGAACTCATCCCGGCTGTGCTCACCTGCCCCGGGTCTGGCGGCCGGCGCTGCCCAGCTTCATAGACCTCTAGCCGCACCCCCACCGCGGGAGGACGTAGTACGGCCCCCCTCCCACCCCAACAGGTGCACAGGGCCGCCGGACTGAGCCACCCCTGCCCCCGCGGGGGACGGCGCCGCGCGCACTCACCCCAGCCGCTCAGCCTCACCTGCGCCCACCCCGCGCCGACCAGAGTAGGCAGGTAGAGCGGTAGCCGCCGCCTCCTCCTCCTCTTGCGCCTGCGCCCCCCGCGCGCTCCCATTGGCCCACTGCGGGTCCTCCAGCGCATTCCGTCCTCCCCCTGCAACGCGCGGCGCACTCGGGGGTTCCGGCGCTGCTGCGTTCCGCCCGGTGCCTGTTCCGGGCCAGTCACGGGGCGGCGGGAAGGAGCCACGTCTTTTCTTCTCTTCTCCCCTCCTCTCCCCCAAAGCGGACTCCAGCCGGCGGCGCGAGCGGCGCAGGGCGCTGGAGGGCGGAGTGCGCTGCCCTATGGCGTCCGGGTACCCCCGAGACCAGGTGGGTGATTGGAAGGGTGCCTACGAGGCCCCCTCCCCCAACCCCAGGAGCTGTTGGGGGGGGCTCTGAGCCTGCCTCAGTTTACCCAGAGCCCACAAAGACCGCCCCAATTATCAGGGGGTCTCTCATTGTGCATCGGGGGAAAACAACACTGAAAACAGGTGAGATAGGGACATAAGATAAAAATAATCCACAAAAAAAGGATTTTTTTGGTGAAATTTTAAGATGAATTGTTATTTATTTTTGCTGTTACTTATTATTATTATTGCTGTTTATTATTATTTGTTATGTTGTTGTTGTTGTTGTTTCTGCACACATGCTGATAGTTTCCTCTGCGGGAGCTGGCCTTTTGCTTTCCAAGCGGGGAGCTGTGGGCTGACACCCACTGAGGAAACTATCAGCATTAAGATCTATAACCATTAAGTTCAGAGGTCGTTAAGGACATGGCGATTGATTTCCAGAGAGAAATCGTAAGAAAACAGGGAAGGGAGCGAGGTCTCTTTGGGGCCTGATGATCTTGCGAGGTTTCTTCCAGCCCTAATGTCTATGAAATCTATGACATCACTGGTGAATAAGGGAACGGGAAGGGGACACCAGGTAGGGCGCAATGGCCGGACCCCACTGGTTCAGTGGCAGAACAAGAAGCAATGGGCTCAAGCTGCACCAAGGGAAGTTGAAGTTGGATATTAGGAAGAATTTTCTCACCAGGAGGGTAGTAAAAACCTGGAAGAGGTTACCCAGAGAGGTGGTGGGCTCTCCATTCTTGGGGGTTTTTAAGACCCAACTAGACAAAGCCTTGGCTGGGATGATGTAGTTGGGGCTGGTCCTGCTTGGAGCCAGGGGTTGGACTAGATGTGACCTCCTGAGGTCCCTTCCCACCGTCATTGTCTAGGATTCAAATGAGTCCACAAAGGCAGTAGATGCTGCCCAGAGATGCATGCAGATAAAGGACAGACTTTTTTTTTTTTAAATTTGTATCCAAGGCCAAATTTGCCCAAACTAAATCCATATCCAAGAGTCCAGAACCATAAGTGGCCCTACTAACTGGCAAATATCCTCCACCTGCACCAGGGGCTTCAGATGTTTCCAAAACCTTTGGCGGGTATCCTATTAGCAGTCCCAAGCTTGGGGTTTGGATGCCCCCGAGGTTTGCTTGCCCGTAGCCTTAAGGTCTTCAGAGCCAGCAAGGGAGCAGGGCTTAAAGCTGCTGTGCCTCAGCAGGTAATGAACCACGCCAAAAGAGCAGTTCTCCTGCAACATGGTTCAGGAAAACTGCCTTCTTGGACACAGATACGTGATATTTCCCCTGCCAGGTTAAGAAGCCACTACACTTGTTTTGAGCCTTTGAGTGGCTGACAAGCGACAGGCTTTTTCACATGCCCTTCTGTGATGTGGGCCAAAGCCCACCAAATAGAGCTATAAGCCCCCTTTGGCAATGGGGCCACTAAGGGCATGTCACTGATGGGAGTGAAAATCATAGGTTTAAAATAAGTGCATCAAGGAGGGACACTGAGCAGACCACACCAGACGGTGCCCGCTGGCCCTCAAATGAATCCAGGGAACAAGGGGACACAGCCCAGTGAAAGTCTGCCTGGAGATGTGTGCGGGTGAGGGACAGGAAAACAGCCCTGTATTCCCCTTCTACCAGAGCCTCCTCCCTGGTCAGATAGAGGGCTAGCTTAGCTAGGGCCAGGAGGAGGTTTATTAGCAGGTCCTGGAACTTGGTGGGGTCATGGATAGGGAGTGCATAAAAAAAGAAAAAAGTGTGTGGAGTAGTGCAACGAGAATTTCACCACAGGTTCCTGAGGGGGTGAAGGAGCTGCAGCCTGGTGCACTCCAGGTGGGCATGTGCCATGGGTCTTCCTCTGTTGCCAGAAGGGGCAGGTGTTGGGAGTGTCCATAAAACATGACAGATGGTGACAGCTTCATGGAGGACCCACATGCTGAGGTCTCTGGCTCATGAGATCAGGGGACAGTATAAGCTTCTCCATCAGGGATGCATGCCCTTGCCTAGAGTGTCCTGCCACTGGGTCTGAACGAGTAAATGGCAGTTCTGGTGTTCTCATGGTCATCATGCCTGTGGTTCCTTTCCAGGTACAGCGCAGGGGCCACCTACACTCGGTACCCATGGACAGCACCAGGCAGGAGCACGAAGAGAACATGAGGCAAGATGCTGGTCATCCTCCACCGCTGACACAACAGGCTTGCAGGGGGATCCCATTGCTGTGACAGGTGGGTAAATGGATCTATTCCAGATCCATTCCAGGTGGCCCTGAACCTCAAGAAGCACAGAAGAAGATCACTAACTCTGCAGGGTGAGGCGCAACAAGGAAGGTTAAGGCCTTTCCTGCAGCTACATTTTGGAACTGGACTTTATTTATCATTTCTCGGCCTCTTGAAGGCTCAGATCAAGTATTTGTTAGTCTTTGCACACAGGAAAGACTTACAGTCAGTTGTGCTGCTTCGTTAGCATCTCTGCCCGTTGTCCAGTCGGCAGTTTTTGATTTAAGTGCTGGAAAAGCGACATCATCTGAATGGACAGGGCAACGTTCGCCTGTTCCACCGCCTACTTTCATGACCGCAGCAGAGCCTCTTGTGGCACGGCCTGCAAGCCCCGAGAACACGTGGACTTCATTGAAAAGGTGGAATCATTCAACTACTCTGATTTTTTCAGGGATTATCTAATTCCCAACCATCCTTGCATATTGTCATCTAAATTCACAGAGGGCTGGGGCAGCAGGAGAAACTGGGTTACCCGGGATGGAAAACCAAATTTTGATTACCTCCTCCAGACCTTTGGTAAGTTGTATTCTTAATATATTTATAATTATCCTGAATGTAAAAATGACAAAGATTTTAGTAATTTTCCTTCCCCCTGCACCCTACTCCAGGCTTTTGAGCCTAGGAATAAAAAAAATGAGTCTGAAGGGTATACTCAGACATTCACTTGCAACAGCTGCAAATTGCTGGCCTGTTGTGTTAATATGAAGTTAGTCTGTTATATAATCCTTGCCTGAAAGGGACCAACTTTGCAATGCCAGGATGATACTTAACACATACTAAACTGGTTGGCCATGCCTTTGCTCCCATTTTAACTGCACATAGTGTTAAGTTGAACATGTGACACCACCCTCACATACTTTAGGTTCCATCATGAAATTCAAAGTTGTCCAGTTGGCAGCCCACAATGGCTTAGTGTGGCCCCCAGACTCCTGCCTGGGTGCTGCTGCTGCCCCCATTGCCCCTGCACTGCTCTAGGATCTGGTGACAGCAGCTGGGGGGCAGGAATTGCCTGCATGGTGGTGGATGGTAGCAGGGAGACTTGCATGGTTGGGGGGTCCCAAGAAGTCTGTGCAGCATGTAGCCTGCCTGGGCTGTGGGCCTGCAACCTATGCGGCATTTGGCATCCTGGCCTCTGAAGCTGGACAGTCCTGCTGTAATTTATGCAACTGCTTCTCTTTAAACTTGTGAATTGTCCTACACACATACTCAAGTGCTTGTCTATTTATGTGAGTAGGAGAGAATTAGGCTTCTGCTATCATGCATCTGCAAGAGTCATAATTTTTTCAGCAGCTCATATCTCATTCCCAGTGCTGTTTACTTGGTAAGACTTGCTGAAAGGTCACTATTGCAAGCATTGTTAGGACTTCCGATAATCATGATATAAATAATGCTGTTGATCTCAGGGAAGTGAGATGGATGAAACAATCCATGTCTTCATATATATTTATACAGCGCCTAACACAGGTGCAGCCTAGATGCAAAATACAGGAGGTTTTAGATTTGCTGTCAGTTGTTTTTTCCCCCAGAATGTTTACATTTCAGGGGAGGCTGTAGTACCTGTTGCCAACTGTGAAGTCAAGGAGTACAATGCCAATCCAAAGGAGCAGATCCCTTTCAAGGAATATGTTAGCTATTGGAAAGAACACATTGCACGTAACTACTCCTCACCCCGGGGGTGCCTCTATTTGAAAGACTGGCACTTGTACAGGTAAGAGAGCACTTTGATTCCCTCTGCATGCCATACCACAGCAGTAAACTTCTTACTCATTTACACTACTCTCTCCTTACTGTAGGTAGTGTCATTATTTAACAGGTGTCCACTGAAATACTACTGCTGCACTACACTGAGGTACCACACCTCTTGGAGTTCTTCCAACCATTCTCATAGTGTGAGACACATCTTATAAAGACAGTGTCTCCCAGATACCTCCCATCTCCCTCTCACAGTCTTTTTCTGTGAATATCCCAGGGGCAACTTCAGGGATGTCACAGTGGCTATCATTTTGGCCTTTAGCTTATGGTAAAAGTTTACAAGGAAAAGATACGTCAGGATCATTTGTGCCATTAACCGTACCTAAGTAAAGTAAGCACTTTTGTCCTTTCATTGAAAGAGTTAATTGTAAATCTCCTTTTTCTGTCTGTTACATCTTCCCATCCTGGATGCTCTTTTCCTGTTTCCCCAGAGAGGAGTGGAGAAGCAAGCCTTCGCGTGCATCCTGGGCTGCACTGGTTGTCTTGTGGCTATGTCAGGGGGCTGGTGCTTCCAGCTGGGCAGAGTGTTTGCTGACCTGTCAGCATGGCTCTAGGTGGAACCAGAGAGACAGGGAATGCCGACCCATCTGGCTAATGGAGTCTGCGTGTGGCATTTGCAGGCCAACTGGCTTGGGGACTGCGCCCAGAGAGTGATGGTGGATGGGTTGTTCTTGGCCTGGAAGGAGGTGGGCAGTGGGGTCCCACCAGGTTCGGTCCTTGGACCAGTGTTATTTAATATCTTCATCAGCAATTTGGATGAGGGTGTGGAGAGCACCTTCTTCAACTTCACAGATGATACCAAGTTATGAGGCAAGTTAACACGCCAGAGGGCAGGGAATAGATACAAGCCGACCTGGACAGGTTAGATCAATGGGTGGAATGAAGTAAGATGCAATTCAATAAAGATAAATGGCACACCTATAGGTTGGGGGATGACCTCTTCAGCAGCTCAGAGGCTGAGAGAGATCTTGGAGTCATAGTTGACTCCAAGATGAACATGAGCCAGCAGTGTAACGAGGCCATCAACAAAGCCAGTTGCACCTTGTCATGTATTAGCAGATGCATAACCAACAGATGGAGGGAGGTGATGTTCCCCCTCTATGTGGCACTGGTCAGGCTGCAGTTGGAGCACTGTGTCCAGTTTTGGGCACCGCACTTCAAGAGGGACACGGAGAATCTGGAGAGGGTTCAGAGGAGGGCCACTCGCATGATTAGTGGCCTCCATGAAAGACCCTATGAGGGGAAGTTGAGAGATCTGGATCTCTTCAGCCTTCACAAGAGACATCTGACAGGAGACCTTGTAGCCGCTTATAAGTTTATCAAGAGAGGACAACAGGGAATTGGTGATGCGCTATTTACCAGAGCGCCCCAGGGAGTAACTAGGAATAATGGGTGCAAACTAGGGGAGAGTAGATTTAGGTTAGACACTAGGAAGAAATTTTTTACAGTAAGGATGGCCAGAATCTGGAACGGGCTGCCAAGAGAGGTGGTACTATCACCTACCTTGGAGGCCTTCAAGAGGAGGCTTGATAAACACCTAGCTGGGGTCATCTGACTTCAGTCCTCTTTCCTGCCAGAGACAGGGGGTCAGACACAATGATCCATTGTGGTCTCTTCCAACTCTACAATCTATGAATCTGGACACTTGCTCCCCTCTTCATGCTGTCCACACTTCTAGTGCTCCTCTCCCCCTGTTCTAGCTTCCCTTCTTCCCTGGCTGACTCTGGCTGCCGATTCTAGTTTGCTGAAAGTGGCTCCTGTTTCTCTGGCCCTTTCTGCAGTGGCAGAGACTTCTAGGATAAGCATCTAGACAGGGCCTTCCTGTTGGCCTGCATCTGCTTTTACAGACACGGAGGTTCTGCTTTGCTATGAAGAGCCTGGTTGGTTGTAAAAACAGCTTTTTAAGATGGCCAAGAGGCAGCAGCATACTAACTGCGATAATTCTTCAGGGGCAGTCAAGACATCTGTGAACTGGCTTTGGCTTCATATACATCTGCTAGGAGGTGACTCAGTTGGACAAATGACTAGGCACGGAGGCTTCTTACTGAGGGAGGACACTTGTTTTCTAAAGTACTTTTCCATCCATGTTCTGCAAACAATGGTTGACCATCCCCCTGTTCATGTGGGTGGGCAGATAGAGGACCCGGGACTGTTAATTGACTTGAAGAAGATGACAGTAAGGTATCAGCGACCCACTTCCAACACTGGTCTAGCGCCCTTAACTACTGGGAAGCTGAAATTCTGACTGAAGATTGCCTTCCTCTGAAACTCTTTGCTTTGTCTTTAAGAGCTTTTCCGGAGCAGGATGTCTATACAATCCCTATCTACTTCTCTTCTGATTGGCTAAATGAATACTGGGATGCCCTAGCTGTGGATGACTATCGTTTTGTCTACATGGGACCTAAAGGGTCATGGTAAAAGTACCTTTGTTTCTCCTCGTTCTTATGTACTGCTCAAAAGGTGTTGTTATTAGTATTCCAGTAGCATCCAGAAATCTCCATCAGCACTGAGGGCTATTGTGCTGGGTGCAACACAACATAAAATAAGGCAACTTAATCTAAGCAGAGCAGTGGTTCTCAACCAGGGTGGCACAAGATCCTTTTAAGGTTGCCATAGCATGTTCGTACTGTTCATTGTGCAAACAACTACATATAATTCACAAGATAAACCCAGAGGTCGTGTCCAGATGAGCATGGACATGTAGTATGTGGTACTGCATACCCATCTACAGTGCCACACACCGCACATGCAGGCATTCCCCGTGCTGCTACCTTGCAGTCTGTGTGTGTGGGGGGTGTTAACCCTGGGAGATCCTGGGGTCAAAAAATGTGTACCTTAAAAAAGTGGGGTGGTGCACATGTGCCGCCCAAAACCACAGCCTGGCCAGCCAAAGCCACACTCCAGCTGCTGGCCAGGTTCCTGGCTGCAATAACACTATGGCTGCAGCTCTCTGAGGCCCCAGGACCCCAGGTAAGGCTGCTGGGGCC